TTATCATTTATATTTCAAAATGTGATGTAACTTAAAGAATAAAAGTGCAGATTTACTGTATTTATTGTGGAGCAACTTTTAGCATGGATGAAATGTCAAAAATTACTTTTTGCAGTGAGTGGTATAAGTACCTCAGAGTGAAACCATGAGTGCAACACAATTAACCTTTTTAAAGTCCATGAAATAATTTAAATTGATAATTAACTTTTTCCCATCACTGGGGACGGGTACTTTTGTTTGTCATGCACATAGTACTTGCATTCTGTACATTGACATCCCAACAAAAGTTGCAAAAAGCATTTAGTATTTACACCTCTGAAATTTCCTGCCACAATTTTCCTCATGTCACTTTCTACTTTGCCAAAATTCAGTGGGAATGTAACAATGAAACTCTGTGTATATTGTGGTTCGCACTGAATATAAAGCCGAGTTGCCTACTTCCAGCTAGCATCTTTCCCAAACAGTGTAACCTGTCATTTAGTGGATTGTAGGAATTTCTTTTTTTATGCGGAAAACAGTAGGAGTGGGGAAGTAGGATGATATTTCATCATAAAATCATACTTTTATAACTTGGATATTTTTAGCTCTTCCAGATTCATTAGCGTTTAGTTTCTGTATAGTGTGGGAACCAAAGTCCTATAGTTTCAATGTACAACACTTCAGAATAGTATCCATTACTTTGACCAATTCTTAATTATCTTGTTTGTCATTGTTTTATTACATGTAATGATTGATTTTCTTAGAAGCAACCCTCACGTTCATATAACTAAGATACAAATGTAGTTGGTTACATTTTTGGTAACATCTCCATTCTTGTAGTTTTTTTAAAGATTAATCCAAGCTAAATCTTATGAAAGCTATTAACTGACCAGTGTATTTTCATGTATTTGTCCAACTAAATCTCCATTTTCATTTCTCTCTCTCCCTGCTGCAACCTTATACTAAAAAGTTAACTTATTTCCCATTTCTGGTCATTATTCAAGTCTTCAAATGTATGACAAATATCCACCTGTACCAACTTCACTGTCTTAGTAAGTAAAATGTGTTGTCTACATACAATGACTGTTGTCTCTTTATTTACTTAAACTTCACTATGCAAACACATTGTACAGAAAGTTAGAATATTTAATTCTGCAGGATCTTCTGGATAATTATAAGGTGAAGATACACCACAGAAGAAAGCATTTACATTGTATGATAGGCATACATATGGACGAACACGTGTCTGAACCTTAAAGTGATAAGAAGTGAACTTTATTACAACTGGGAATGTATTATATATAACTGAAGACATGAAACTGACTAATACATACATCTCTAGGATGACATACATCCAAATCATTTAAGCTTTTGTTTTGCAATGTTAAGATTTTGCAGAGCATACACAGTTGTATGGTAACAAGAGTGTAATAGTCTAGGGTTGTATACAATGTTTACAACATGTATAAGTATCCATACAATTCAATTTACATTAACTTCACTACTCAGACAAAACATGTTAAAAGCTTTAGGGGTTTTGAAATTTACATCTTTATAACATGCGAGCTGTCCTACATCTACTTTCAACTCAACTTGACTTCACATTAATGCTGTGTTTTGTACATAAAACTAGTCAGTAAAATTCTTGTTATTTTTGAAGTTCAATCTTTTTTAATCAAGTAACCCATTTTCACTTCCTACTTGATGTCAAAATTCAGCATTATAGGTTTCACTCATTTGAAGTATTACTAAGAACATTTGGTCAAGAAATGTATCAGAAAAGAAAGAGAACCACATTTCCATAAAAGAGACTTAGTGGGATGCTATATACTCTGATTTATAAAATTTCCTGTGCACTGCATGAGCCATTGTAATTCAGTTTAAATTATAGTGAAGTTAGGTTTGCACACAAATTTTCAAACACCATGAATAATCACTGCACTTATGTGAAAAGAAATACAGAATGTTGTAGCAACGTATCAAATAATAAAAAACACCAATAATATTGTAGCAATGTATCAAAGTAATAATAAAAATACAGAATGTTGTAGCAACGTATCAAAGTAATAATAAAAAACACCAATAATATTGTAGCAATGTACCAAAGTAATAAAAACAATACAGAATGTTGTAGCAATGTATCAAAGTAATAATAAAAAACACTAATAATATTGTAGCAATGTACCAAAGTAATAATAACAATACAGAATGTTGTAGCAATGTATCAAAGTTATAATAACAAACACCAAGAACAATTTGTCAGAAACTATTACCACCAAAATGCATTAGATGACAAACGCAATCACCAACCTGATCTTACTTTTAGCTCAAATTCAGTAAAGATTTGCATTTAGTTGTGCCTAAGCTGATAAGATCTCCCAAGATACACACTGTTTTACACCTTTCAAATTTCTAGAACTAGAAATGTCAGAAATACATTAATCTGAAAGTCAGGATTATTTCTTTTTTACTGTGTTTACCACACAATTGAAGCTTCTCTTTACAGGGACTGTAAGCTTCTAAAATTTGGCCATTAGGTCAGTAACCTCTACAAAGTCACATCTTTAAATAATCCAATTGCAGTCGGAACTCACCCTGTATTCCACATAGCACTTAAACTCAAGTTAAGTGGTTGCAGTGGTGATTTATTTGATTGAAATGACTGTTAGAAAAATGCTTTCAGTCATTAACTACAGAGATATTAGCTTAACAGTACAACATGGTAGTTTATCATGCTGGGAATTTCACTTAATAAAAATATTACATTGCTCAAAAAATTTAACAGAGGTATGAAAACAATCACTGTTATCAAGCTTTAAACTTAAAGATACTTAAATGTAAACGTATATGAAATATCAAAGTTTTATAAACACACATGCTTACAGGTTGACAACCAACCATCAGACTAGAAATTATTTGAATAAACATTTTCCTCTGTCTATTATTTTATTTACTTAATTTTCATGCATATTTTCACAAATAAGCATAGGTCATGAGTCGGTTTTAAGAAGAACTCACAATAGTAAATAATGTGGTGGCACTTAGAACTGCAGTTGACAATCCTTATTTATATAAGTATGGTGTTTTACTTGCTTTATAATCACCTCAGTGAAATTCAGTTATACAGGTTTTGAAGATTACATAGAATTGATGCAATTAATTTATACATCATAGTAGAAAGAACAAATTAATACCATCAATACGTACTCTTCAAAATCTATATAATTACATGAACGAATAAAAGAAAACCAAAACATCACAAAAGAAATCTACATATCTTCACTGTAAGATGCTTAGACTTGTTTTCTGATTTGCACATATTCAAGATTACTAATGATGAAGTGAAATTAATTAAAACAGGTGATAAGTGGTGAATCAAATAACTGATTGGGCTTCATATTAATCTTTACCTATGTGCTAGAGCTTTTTTGGATTCATTAAACTAATCTTCCCTATAAATTCTGAAATGCCTAAACTTTATTGCATTGATATTTTCAGATGGAAAATTCACTTTGAATCAAATACTTTTTTAAATCAATTATATTTACAACTTCTAAACAAATTACTATAAATCTGTCATACCTACTTTAAATAGAATTGGAATTTGCAACATGAAATGGCACCTTTTGCATACAAAACTAAATGAACAGATCAAAGACACCCGAGATTCAGGTATGGCCAGACGTAACTGAGCTATTGACCAGAGACAAGACATCCAGCCAGCAGTGCCCACGACCAAAAATAGCTTTGTCTAGCTCTTTAAACCAAGTAACAAACTTGACTGTCACTTTTATAATGCACCTATAAATGTAAGTGTGGAGTACACTCAGTGACTCCAAATCTCAATCTTAGGACAACTTGGTCAAATGCAGCAGCAAGCTGATCACTAGGCTTCACCCAGCCCATACTTTAAATACCAAAAACTAAATCACAAACACTAACAGAAGCAGATAAAAACAGTTTATTTGTAGTTAGGACAAAGCACGAAAATAATAAACACTAGCTTTTTTATATTACTAAATCCCCGTAAATTCACACATAACACTGAAATACAAATTTTCTAGCCTCAGAAATCAAACCACCTTTGAATTGCCTGTTACATGAATTTACCCTTAAGAAAACCTGCAGCTGAAAATCATACAGAAACTGTACAGAGCATGTTTTGTAATATAAAATGATGCGACTTACATCTACGATTGATAGATAAACTTTCATCTTTTTATTTTATAAATTGCTCTGATGAACCAATAAGAAATTGTATTGTGCTCTTACTTTAATTCATCTTGTTTACAGGTAAAACTAGTATTATGGTTTCAAAAACATATTTACTATTTTAGTTTTAAAAACACTATGTTCCACAAGGTTTACCTACCACTATTAGATGGATGCAAGTGAATAATGTGTATCATTGTTGTTACTGCAACATGTAACAGTTTCTTCCATTATTTAATAGCATTCACCTGGAGATGCTAAGTAAACAGTGTTTTTTAACTGTAAAATAGACGTTATTTTAATTTAATTTTTACCCTAATTACTATTGATCAACATCAAGACATTGAACAGTTACCTGTATCTCAAACATACATAAATATTCATGCTTTATTTTACTGTTTCAAATAACTTAAGTCTTTAGTTCACAAATGCGATCATTGTATGGTTTATTTTCATTGAAAAAATTATATAAGCTAATACCCTGGAAGAAAAAAAAAAGCTATTGATATTAAAGTTTGTTTTATTTATCTCCAGTTTAGAAAACGATTATATATAATGATTCTAATTAAGTTGAAACTTATGAAATATATAGTTTAGTTGCCAACAACCGATAGATAACTATAAAAAATATCCCACAGTTACTTGCTAGCTGCGAACCCCACTGTGTATGTGTATAAACACAGTTCAATAGCTTCTGAATGTACAGTTTATGCACACAAACATATATATTTTACTATTAAGCATTGTGCCAACAATGAACTTCAACCTCAAGACTGGCACTTTTGATAAGTAACAGAAACTGAACTTACTCGAACCTGGTGTGGACTGGCTTGGTTTTCGATTTTTTCCTATAATGTTTTCCATTATTCCAGACATACGATCTCTCCTCTTATCCTTCTTATTACGAATGGTACCTATGCATGTCTCTTCCACAATTTTCACACATGATTTGTGAATGTTCATTTCACAGTCTACAAGAGAAAAAGAAATTAGCAGCAAAAATTATAATTCAACTGAATTTGGATAAAAAAA